ATAAATGATCTTGAAGACAGCATTGAAAGTCATGTTTCAGTGTTTGCAGATGACACAAAGCTCTGAAAAATAATACAATGTGAGCAAGATATTACTTTGCTGCAGAGGGATTTAGATAGACTGGGGGACTGGGCACTCAAATGGCAGATGAAATTTAATGTTGAAAAATGCAAAGTTATGCACTTCGGAGTAAAGAATACACAAGCAACGTATACCCTTAATGGAAGCGAATTAGGGATAACAACACACGAAAAGGACTTGAGAATTGTTATGGACAACAAACTATGCAACAATGTGCAATGTCAATCAGCAGTGGCCAAGACCAGTAAGGTATTGTCATGCATGAAAAAGGGCATTCATTCTCGGGACGAGAATATCATTTTGCCTCTTTATAAATCACAGGTAAGACCACATATTGAATATGCTGTGCAATTTTGGACACCTGTTCTAAAGAAAGATATTATGGCACTAGAAAAAGTGCAGAGGCGGGCTACAAAATTAATAAAAGGAATGGAACATATCAGCTATGAAGAAAGGTTAACAAATTTAAACCTATTTAGTTTAGAAAAATGTCGTCTGAAAGGGCATATGATAACCTTATACAAATATATTCGGGGCCAATACAAACCATTGTGTGGAAATCTATTCACAAACCTGACTTTACATAGGACACAAGGTCATGCGTTTAGACTGGAAGAAAGAAGATTTCGTCTAAGGCAAAGGAAAGGTTTTTTAATGTAAGAACAAAAAGGATGTGGAATTCTCTGCCTGAAGAAGTGGTTTTATCAGAGTCCATACAAATGTTCAAACAGCTGCTAGATGCATACTTGCAAAAACAGAATATTCAAGGATATAATCTTTCAATGTAGGGTAATAACTTCTCGATCCAAGGATAAATCTGACTGCCATTCTGAGGTCAAGAAGGATTTTTTTTCCTAACTTGTTGCAAAATTGTGCTTCAAACTGGGGTTTTTGCCTTCTTTTGGATCAACAGCAAAAAGCAAAAGTGAGGAAGGCTGAACTTGATGGATGCAAGTCTCTTTTCAGCTATGTAACTATGTAACTATATAAGCTCTCAACATACAGACTACATAGAATGTCCTGATGAGACAACTTTATTCCCTCTATAGTATTTAATGTGTGTTTGGTATCTCTCAGATATGAAGGGAGTTCGACAACTGATTTCCTCATAATCTGATCCACATTTACACTCACATTTTGAGTCAAGTTGGATCTGCCTGAGACAATTGGTCTACCACTAAGTACAGGTTGCTGTTTATGTACTTTTGGAAGTGAATAAAAGGTGGCAGCCCCGAGATTTTTTTAAGAACATAAAATTATATTCATAGAAACATAGCAAAATAGAATGTGACGGCAGATAAGAACCATTCGGCCCATCTAGTCTGCCCAATTTTCTAAATACTTTCATTAGTGGATAGCCTTATGCCTATCCCATGCATGCTTAAACTCCTTTACTGTGTTAACCTCTACCACTTCAGCTGGAAGGCTATTCCATGCATCCACTACCCTCTCAGTAAAGTAATACTTCCTGATATTATTTTTAAACCGTTGTCCCTCTAATTTGACTATGTCCTCTTGTTGTGGTAGTATTTCTTCTTTTAAATATAGGCTCCTCCTTTACTGTGTTGATTCCCTTTATATATTTAAATGTTTCTATCATATCCCCCCTGTCTCGTCTTTCCTCCAAGCTATACATGTTAAGATCCTTTAACCTTTCCTGGTAAGTTTTATCCCGCAATCCATGAACCAGTTTAGTAGCCCTTCTCTGAACCCTCTCTAAGGTATCAATATCCTTCTGAAGATACGGTCTCCAGTACTGTGTACAATACTCCAAGTGAGGTCTCACCAGTGTTCTGTACAATGGCATGAGCACTTCCCTCTTTCTACTGCTAATACCTCTCCCTATACAACCAAGCATTCTGCTAGCATTTCCTGCTGCTCTATTACATTGTCTGCCTACCTTTAAGTCATCAGAAATAATCACCCCTAAATCCCTTTCCTCATATGTTGAGGTTAGGACTCTATCAAATATTCTGTACTCTGCCCTTGGGTTTTTACGTCCAAGATGCATTATCTTGCACTTATCCACATTAAATGTCAGTTGCCACAATTCTGACCATTTTTCTAGTTTACCTAAATCATTTGTCATTTGGCTTATCCCTCCTGGAACATCAACCCTGTTACATATCTTAGTATCATCAGCAAAAGACATACCTTACCATCAAGACCTTCTGCAATATCACTAATAAAAATATTAAAGAGAATGGGTCCAAGTACAGATCCCTGAGGTACCTCACTGGTGACAAGTCCAAGCTTCGAATATATTCCATTAACTACAACCCTCTGTTGCCTGTCACTCAGCCACTGCTTTACCCATTCAACAATATTGGAATCCAAACTTAAAGATTGCAGTTTATTGATAAGCCTTCTATGTGCAACAGTGTCAAAAGCCTTACTGAAATCTAGGTAAGCAATGTCTACTGCGTCCTTAGAGATCAGAGATAGTGAAAGTGCTTCATCTAGAATATTTTTGAGTTCTACTAAGTATTTTTTCGTGGGGTCCCCGCTTAGTATTTCATAAGTATCTCTATCTTCAATTAATCTTTGCACCATAGAGACATAATCAGTCTTGTTTATTTATGACTGTGTTGCCACCTTTGTCAGATGGTTTAAAAATAACATCATCCATCTCTTTAAGATGTTTCAGGGATGTTTTTTCTTGTGGGGTAATATTACAACAGGGTTGAATCGTGAGATCTTTTTGATTTATTTTTTCAGTTTCACTACACGTTAGTTCGACAAATAAGTCGATGTATTTAAATTCAGCGAGATGTGTAGTGAACAGACTTTTTTTCTTAAGTTGTGTAGGGAGATTGTGGATTCTCGGGTATGTCGTTACTAGATAGGAGGTCCACGAGTGTATCTAATAGGCAAATGTCTGAAGGTTGCAAATCTAGATTCTTAGCTTTTTTCTTCTCTGATATGATGAAATTTATGGAGCGTTAATTTTCTCACAAATAAGTGTATGTCCTTCGTCCAGCTAAACTTATCGAAGTCAGAAACTGGAACGAAGAACAGACCTTGTTGTAATACTTGTAGTTCTGGTTTAGTGAGGGTATGTGAGGAAAGATTAATAATCTGATTTGCGTCCTTCTCTAGTGCCTTTTCTAGTACCTGTTTCTCCTGAACTGTTGTGGAGGTCTGGAATTGCTCCGTGTCTGGGGTGCAACATTGTCCTCCATGTTTGGATGTCCTAAAAAAAGTTACCCCTCTTTTTAATATGCTTCTGGTGTTACGTTCATGGGAACTTGTGGCACCCCCCTTATTAGAATCTGAATCGGAGCCACTCGTTTCGTATTCTGATGTTGAAATTGGCTCAGTGAAAATAACTCTTTTATTCCTACTATAAATATTTCCACTTTTAAAGTCTTTGCTATCCCTTATAAACTTTGAGTGTTTGTGTATCTTGATGTTTTGTTGGCATTTATCCAAATTATTCTTGAGATTAGTTTCTAATGCTTCAAAGTTGGATTAATTCTTAAATTTCTCAATATTATTGATCTGCTCATCCACCTCTTGGTTAACCTTTTCTATTCTCTTTGATTCAAATTTGCATAAGATCTCCATAAATCTTTTAGAGCAGGTGACTGCAGCTTCCTCCCACTCTTTGATAAACTCCTCCTCTTCAATATGTGTAGCTGGGATTTTTTGTACCCTGAGTCCTTTAGGTATTAGTTATTTTTTAAGGTAGTTTTCTAGTGATGCAATTTCTCATCTTTTAATCTGTTGTTGAAATAGATTAGTCAAGCGATTAAAGGATTAAAGGATGAGATAAAGTTGAGCTACTGCTTAGTTCCTGATCTGAAAAGACTTGATCTGTATCTGTACACCATATATCCCGTTTTGAGTTATCAAATAAAAAACTGGCCATGATACACGGTATCGGTACTTTGGTATTAAAACCTATTTAAAAAGAGAGTAAACAGAAAATAAGATAGTAGGCACCACCAATGGCACTATACCCAGGGGAATAGTGCCAGGGGTGTCCACCTATCTTAGGTACAGAAATGAGACTCCTAAGTCCAGGGGGTAACCCTACCCCTAACCCTAACCCTTACCCTACCCATAATCCTAACCCTACCCCTACCCCTAACCCTACCCCTAACCCTACCCTCAACCGAACCCCCTAACCCTAACCCTACCCCAAACCTAACCCAAACCCTAACCCTAACCCAGGGGTTAGGTTAGGGGTAGGTTTAGGGTTAGGTTAGGGGTAGGGTTAGGATAAGGGATAGGGGTTAGGTTAGGTGTAGGGTTAGGATTATGAGTAGGGTAAGGGTTAGGGGTAGGGTTACGGTTAGGGCTAGGCTTAGGGCTAGGTGTAGGGTTAGGGGATAGGGGTAGAAGGTTAGGGGAAGGGTTGGGGTTAGGGGTTGGGGTTAGGTTAGGGGTAGGGTTAGGATTAGGGTTAGGGGTATGGGTTAGGTGTAGGGTTAGGATTATGGGTAGGGTAAGGGTTAGGGGTAGGGTTACGGTTAGGGCTAAGTGTAGGGTTAGAGGATAGGGGTAGAGGGTTAGGGGAAGGGTTGGGGTCAGGGGTTAGTGGCAGAGGTAGGGGTAGGGTTAGGGTTAGGGGGTTGGGGTTGGGGTTGGGGGCTAGGGGTAGGGTTAAGGGTAGGGGGTTCAGGGTAGGGTTGGGGTCAGGGATAAGGTTAGGGTTAGGAGTTAAGGGTAGGGTTGGGATTAGGTTATGGGTAGGGTTAGGATTTGTATTAGGGATAGGGGTTAGGTTAGGGGTAGGGTTAGGGGTAGTGGTAGGGCTAGGTGTAGGGTTAGCGGAAAGGTTAGGGGTAGGGTTAGGGGTCTGATAAGGGGTAGGGGAAGAGGTAGGGTTAGGCTTACGGAATTGCTGAAATCCTGAACTCCTGAAGTGCTGAATTGCTGAAGTTCCAAATTGGGTTCGACTTTCCTGAAATACCTAGGTATTAACTTAACTAAGTCACATCACTACCTCATTCACAAAAACCATGTGGCCCTCACTCAAAAACTTAGATCACAAATAGACCTGTGGAACAACGATGAGATTTCCTGGTTTGGTTGAATTCACACCATCAACATGATGGCACTTCCACATGTCCTCTACCTTTTCCGAACTATCCCTATACAACTTTGGTGACTCTAGATAACCTTGTGACGGCGACGACGCATTCGGATGTCTGCCCTATCAACTTTCGATGGTACTTTCTGCACCTACCATGGTGACCACGGGTAATGGGGAATCAGGGTTCGATTCCGGAAAGGGAGCCTGAGAAACGGCTACCACATCCAAGGAAGGCAGCAGGCGCGCAAATTACCCACTCCTGACTTGGGGAGGTAGTGACGAAAAATAACAATACATGACTCTTTCGAGGCCCTGTAATTGAAATGAGTACACTTTAAATCCTTTAACAAGGATCTATTGGAGAGCAAGTCTGGTGCAGAGCGACTAACCATGCGTGCTGCAGCTGAAACTCCACTATCGACTTCTGCTGCTCGCACAGTCTCTCCAGCATGTGCAAGGTGGAGTTCCAACTTGTGGGCACATCGCATATGAGGCGGTGAGCGGGAAGGCCGAAGTTACGCTGCAGCGCAGACAGGCGAGCAGCAGGGTGAGAATGCCGAAAGCGCTCACAGATGGCCTGCACTTTCTGCAGCAGCTCTGATATATCTGTGTAGTTTTTCAGGAATTTCTGCACCACCAAATTCAGCACATGCGCCAGGCAAGGGATGTGCGTCAAACCGGCTGGGCCCAGAGCTGCTACGAGATTTCACCCATTATCGCACACCACCAGGCTGGGCTTGAGACTCAGTGGCAACAACCACTCTGTTGTTCCATGCCTGTCCACAGCTCCTTCTCGGTGTGGGGTTTTTCCCCCAAACATTTGAGTTTTAAAACAGCCTGCTGTCATTTCCCCCTGGCTGTGCTGAAGTTGGTGGTGAAGGTGTTACGCTGACAGGATGAGGAGGTGGTAGAGGAGGAGGAAGCAGAGTAGGAGGCAACAGAAGGCAAAGAGAAATGCCCTGCTATCCTTGGTGGCGGAAGGACATGCGGCAAACTGCTATCTGCCTCAGGCCCAGCCGTCACTACATTTGCCCAGTGTGCAGTTAGGGAGATATAGTGTCCCTGCCCGAGCTTACTGGTCCACGTATCAGTGGTTATGTGGACCTTGCCACAGATGGCGTTGCGCAGTGCACACCTGATTTTGTCCGCCAATTGGTTGTGCAGGGAAGGGATGGCTCACCTGGAAAAGTAGTGGTGGCTGGGAACCACGTACTGTGGGACAGTCACCGCCATCAGGTTTTTAAAACTGTCTGTCTCCATCATTTCAAAGGCCAGGCATTTTGAAATGCTGGCATTCAGGGCCAGGGATCACGGGTGTACTTCCTCTTTCTCTCCAGTGATTATTTTTATTTTCATTTTAATTTTTATTGGACTGCAAGAAATGCACCGCAGGCCGCAAATGTTTTATTTAGCACAAAAAAGTGTGATTTTTTTAAACCAGCAATGTAACAGTAGTATTTAAGGGTTTTATTGGACTGCAAGAAATGCACCGCAGGCCGCAAATGTTATATTTAGCACAAAAAAGTGTGATTTTTTAAACCAACAATGTAACAGTAGTATTTAAGGGTTTTATTGGACTGCAAGAAATGCACCGCAGGCCGCAAATGTACTATTTAGCACCAAAATAAGTGACCTTTTCAAAGTGCAATCTAACCACAGCATTTGATGTTTCTATTTGACTCTCAAAATTTTTTTTAATTAGTCAAACTGCAATGTCACAGCAGTATTTTACGGTTCTATTTGACTCTCATATATGAAGTATACGCCACAAATTTACTCATTAGCACCAAAAAATGTAATTTGTCAAACTGCAATGTCACAGCAGTATTTGACGGTTCTATTTGACTCTCAGATATGAAGTGCATGCCACAAATGTACTTTTTAGCACCAAAAAAAATTGAATTTGTCAAACTGCAATGTCACAGCAGTATTTCACGGTTCTATTTGACTCACAGATATGAAGTGCACGCCACAAACGTACTTTTCAGCACCAAATTTTTTTTTGAATTTGTCAAACTGCAATGTCACAGCAGTATTTGACGGTTCTATTTGACTCTCAGATATGAAGTGCACGCCACAAATGTACTTTTTAGCACCAATTTTTTTTTGAATTTGTCAAACTGCAATGTCACAGCAGTATTTGACGGTTCTATTTGACTCTCAGATATGAAGTGCACGCCACAAACGTACTTTTTAGCACCAAAAAAAATTGAATTTGTCAAACTGCAATGTTACAGCAATATTTCACGGTTCTATTTGACTCACAGATATGAAGTGCACGCCACAAACTTACTTTTCAGCACCAAAAAAATTTGAATTAGTCAAACTGCAATGTCACAGCAGTATTTAACGGTTCTATTTGACTCTCAGATATAAAGTACACGCCACAAATTTACTCATTAGTACCAAAGAAAATTGAATTTGTCTAACTGCAATGTCACAGCAGTATTTGACGGTTCTATTTGACTCTCAGATATGAAGTGCACGCCACAAATTTACTTTTTAGCACCAAAAAAAATTGAATTTGTCAAACTGCAATGTCACAGCAGTATTTGACGGTTCTATTTGACTCTCAGATATGAAGTGCACGCTACAAATTTACTTTTTAACACGAAAGAAATGTGAATTTTTCAAAGTGCGATGTAACCACAGTATTTGACAGTTCTATTTGACTCTCAGATATGAAGTGCACGCCACAAATGTACTTTTTAGCACCCAAAAAAATTTGAATTTGTCAAACTGCAATGTCACAGCAGTATTTGACGGTTCTATTTGACTCTCAGATATGAAGTGCACGCCACAAACGTACTTTTTAGCACCAAAAAAATTGAATTTGTCAAACTGCAATGTTACAGCAGTATTTGACAGTTCTATTTGACTCACAGATATGAAGTGCACGCCACAAACTTACTTTTCAGCACCAAAAAAATTTGAATTAGTCAAACTGTAATGTCACAGCAGTATTTAACGGTTCTATTTGACTCTCAGATATAAAGTACACGCCACAAATTTACTCATTAGTACCAAAGAAAATTGAATTTGTCTAACTGCAATGTTACAGCAGTATTTGACGGTTCTATTTGACTCTCAGATATGAAGTGCACGCCACAAATTTACTTTTTAGCACCAAAAAAAATTGAATTTGTCAAACTGCAATGTCACAGCAGTATTTGACGGTTCTATTTGACTCTCAGATATGAAGTGCACGCCACAAATGTACTTTTTAGCACCAAAAAAAATTTAATTTGTCAAACTGCAATGTTACAGCAGTATTTCACGGTTCTATTTGACTCACAGATATGAAGTGCACGCCACAAACTTACTTTTCAGCACCAAAAAAAATTGAATTAGTCAAACTGCAATGTCACAGCAGTATTTAACGGTTCTATTTGACTCTCAGATATGAAGTGCACGCCACAAACGTACTTTTTAGCACCAAAAAAATGTAAATTAGTCAAACTGCAATGTCACAGCAGTATTTGACGGTTCTATTTGACTCTCAGATATGAAGTGCACGCCACAAATTTACTTTTTAGCACCAAAGAAATGTGTATTTTTTAAAGTGCGATGTAACCACAGTATTTGACAGTTCTATTTGACTCTCAGATATGAAGTGCACCGCAGGCCGCAAATGTACTATTTAGCACCAAAAAAAATTAGAATATTTCAAGCTGTGATGTAACCACAGTATTTGACGGTTCTATTTGACTCTCAGATATGAAGTGCATGCCACGAATGTACTTTTTAGCACCAAAAAATGTGAATTAGTCAAACTGCAATGTCACAGCTGTATTTGACGGTTCTATTTGACTCACAGATATGAAGTGCACGCCACAAATGTACTTTTTAGCACCAAAAAATGTGAATTAGTCAAACTGCAATGTAACCACAGTATTTGATGGTTCTATTTGACTCTCAGATATGAAGTGCACGGCCCAATGTCACAGCAGTATTTAAAAATGCCTAGATGTTGCCCACTGAGCTACCAGAAAAGGATTAAAGTAACGTGCCTGGCACACATGCAGTTGCAAGTGCCCACCTAAAAAAACAGACTGATTGCTTATTTTTCAGTGGCACTGGGCTCAGGGTAGGGTACAAAAATGTAGTATAGCAACCACAAAAATAATCGCTGTAGTTTGCAGATTCAACACCAGAATTCTTTCCTAATCTGTCCCTCACAGCTGCAGCATCCTCTCCCTAAACTAATAAGAGCTCATGTGACTCCAGCTTATAAAGAGGCTGGGTCACATGCTGCACTGGCCAATCACAGCCATAATTATTATTTATGCTATTGAAGAGGTATTAACATTAGCCTTACAGAATAAGTGATATGAAATGCACCTCAGATTACCATCAAACACAACAGAATCATTATCTCACCACTGGAACATACGGGAAGATAATGTCAAACAAAAATACTATTTATGATGAAATTTTTGCCAGATTGTAGTTTATGTGCCTCTTCTTTTACTCTTGTTTTGTTGGTATATGCAACTGTTTGTACACTATTTATCACCAGTATATGTAAAGTGCTTTTACACCTTATTTGACACTATGTAGTGTTTTTCATAAAGCAGATGTTAGCAATTGTATACTGCATGGGTATTTCCCCCCTGTTTCGTTTGTTTGATTTATATGTTTTCCTTATTCTATATATTTCATTGTTTTACAATGATTATTATTGTTAAAACTAAAAACCTTTGGGGCAACTAAAGAAACTCCCCTGGCTGAGAGGCGTGCCCTGTAATGCAATCAGATCGCGTTTGTTGTTTATTATTATGAATGTTTATTAAATACTTTTCAAAGTTTTTCTTTCGCTTGCTGGTGTTTGCTTGCTGGTTTAAAAAACAATTGTCAAGTGATGCTTTTATTTTTAAGATCTGATAAAACACTAATCATTGCATCACAGTAGTTTTATTTTCGAATCATACAAAAAGAGAAGCCCTAATAATATTTCAGCCTTAAAAATGTTTGTTCCCAATTGCATATTCCAAATGGTAAAACAAAATGTTGTAACAGTTATACCTACCGGGCCTTATTAATGCTTTTCATAAAGGCACTAGGGAGAGCTACACTGAAATTAATTCAGCTAAAACCGCCCATTCGGAGAATTCAGTTCTCAGCTCCTTTAGTTTGAATTTGTAGGTCAGTGCTTAAACCAGCACATCTACACTAGCACAGCTACTGTAACAGTAATCATAGAGAGTCCCTGGTGGCATAAAAGAATAGAATATAGAAGGATGGGTCTTGACTCAATACTAAGGATGAGCCCTTCTGTTTTCAACCCTCATTGCAAGTTCCTGAGTAGGAGAAACGTTGCTCACACACTTGTAAAAAGATTTAGAGCATAATGAATCATAAAGCCATGGAGTGGTTTTGTGGTGGTTGTGGTGCATAGAGTGTCCCTTTAAAATTC